GACCATGTTGTGAGTATTTCTTTGACTTTCAGGCATCGGGGACATTATCAAACACTTTTAATTTTCCTTATGTTGTTTGAACAATTTCAATTGCATATAAACAATTTTGAACAATCTCTGCTTAAAGATGTATTTAAGACACTCCATGCTAGGAGACCACATTCTCTTATCTTCATATGCATAGGCTTTTATGCAGCAGGACAGTATGTGTCAAAATGTAATGTTTGCTATCAATCCCAATAGTTCAAGTTATCAGCCTCTCTAATAATGACAAGTCTCCCTTCAGTATGTGTCTGTGCTGTACAGGTTTCCATAAAATGCTTGTAGATGTCAGCACAGGGCGGATGTGTTATAATTACATTCATGAGCTCATCACCTCTGTTTATCCTTTTTTGAATTATCTAAAAATGTCACGCTTTTCTGTAAAAAATTAACTAACCATTGTATAACAGGCTACTGAACCCTCTCAGAGAAGCTACACTGTATATATTATAAAGTGAGGAAGTAATCTTAATCTCATCACCCCAGTTCTGTCCTTTTTTGAAAGCAAAGTTCTATTCTCTATTCTCATTAAACAAATGATCTGAATTGTACAAATAATTTAAGTATACAGTATATCCATAACATTACATTTATTTGTAGTGTACGTTCACTCTCTACTAACACCAGAATAATGCCTTCTTTAGCTGTAATATATTTACCTTAAATTGCTGCCATTATTTTTTTTTGCTTTGTGTGCTACATTCTGTACTTTTCTGTACAATCTTAGCTTGCCATTATATAACAGGTTTCTGAACCGTTGCAAAGAAGCCATTTATTTTAAGTGAGGAAATAATCATAAAAGGTGAAGCAAAAAAGAACAGAAAGGAAGGAAGAAGAGAGACTGGAGAGTGGGGAGTCTGCAGAATAAGGGGAGGTGAGTCTAACACATCCCACTTTGAAGTCTTACCTTTCATGAGTGCAGATGTCTTAGATGTTGCGAAGTAACATGTCAGAAATAGGATGCAGAAAATTAAGGGAATATAAGAAAAAAGCATAAAATGAAATAATATCATTTACATTCGAGATAGGAGCTGTGGTAGCTCAGACAACAAGGGCGTCTAGCTCCTGACCAGAAAGTCCCGGATTAAACCCCAGGTAGGGGCAAGTGATGTACTGTAGCTTGCTCTAATTCATTCCAGATGGCTCCCAGTCCACTCAGCCTGCTTTCCAAATGAGTACCGGGGGTTAATCCTTCTGGGGGTAATAGGCCAGCCGGAGCGTGATGCTGACCACATCACCTCCACTTCCAGTGTCGGATGAGAAAAATGGTAGCCCATTCCCCCCATGGACCTTTATGGCCTGGAAAGGGGACCTAACCTACATTAGAGATAACTGTATATAAATCAGAACATGGAGAACAATCACATTGACAGCAAGACATATAGCTCTATGGCTACAAAGATGGGACTTTACGTATTATTCCATAAATATCTGATATTCTGTGTATATATACTTAAACATTTTGGAAGTGCTTAGTTTTAATTAATACCATTTAGAGAACAGTACAGTGATACACTTTTTCTCTAATGACACTACCTCTGAATATTGTTTTCATTATGCTGTTTTTTTTTCTGAGGTTACATTGTTAAAAGCTATAAAGACGTAAGTAACAATGGAATGTCAGTAAATCATTTCTTTTGCTGATGGTTAAACAAATCTTTTAATGATCCTGTTTGGCCAGGTGTGACTGTCATACACATGCCATCTGGTGGAAAAGATGTTTGGGGTGATGGTTCGCACATGTTCCCACTAATAATTATGTAACACACAATTATTTGATGTAAAGAAACTGATCTTCACATTAATCAGCTTTAAAAATCCTGACACACCCTTTAACAGTGCAGATTACAAGATAAAACTGGATTGCCCATGACTCAAGATCACTCAGGGCTCAGTATTGAAGGCTGTATGAATCACCTAACAAGAAACTGATTATAAGTTGTAAATGGCGATAGCTAGAACAATATTAGATTATGTTTTCTACAGTTGGTGCTTTCTTGCTCATACCTGTAGTCTTTTATTGTATTTTAGGTTAGTTATCATGTTCTATGTGTGTGGAATGAGTACACAGTCATTACGTGTATTGATAATGGTAATAGTGGGTGAAAAACAACAACACGAGTTGATTTCTGATGTTGTCTGTATTTTGAATATAGAGCCCATTATGAAGATTTTTTAAAAGTGTCTGAGATGTATCTACAGTACCAGGAAAGTTCATTTCAGGCCTGGAGCCCATGAGTCAAGACTAAGACATTAATTCATCACTATAGCGTTGAAAATAAAAGTATATAGTGTATTCATGCTTCTGAAGGATTTCAGCAAATAAGATCAGTTTTCATAAAATCTGCATTAGGATAGTACTATAGACTAATGTTTAATTTGCATCTGATAAAGTAGAATGTATACTGAGCATCAAAATAAACATTGTACTATATTTATTCATGTATGGTTTTTTAAAATAAAAACTAAAGTTTATGCCTTTTGGATACTGATTATATTGTATGTTTTTGGCCTCATTTTGATCAATTGATTATTCTTGACTGACCATACAATTGTACATTTAAGTGCCTTTGACTGTGGCATGAGCACTAAATCACCTCTGTCATGAAAGAGTTGAAAGGGCGCATGTGTGGAGGTGATTTGACCTGTAGAATTTCAAGACTGATGAAAATATAAATCCCTCATTGTCTGGGGTGTTCATGTGCCAGCAAGTTCTGACCTGGCAAGACGTTATATAACCAAACACTGTCTCTCAGTTATAGACCATGACCTCGGAGATTCAGAGTTATGACACCACCTCATCAGCAGAACATCACACTCCCATCTTCATGATTGTTTTCATGATGCCAGTTACACAGCATTAGTGTGTAACATTTGCAATTTCATTGCAACAACAATGAGTGTAGAACATTGCAATAATTGTTGTGTACAAAAGACAAAGTGAATTGATTTGAGGCAGGAATGTCTAGTTACTACAGAACTCTCAGCTTTTAGTGATTGTAAGTGACTTTATAGTGCTACAGTACATTAATCATATTCTGTGATGTCACTTGCTGTCATTCATGTGGTCTCATCCTGACGTCACAGAACAGTAAACATCCTTAATGCTGCTGTATCATGTATCAGTGGTTAGCTTGGAAGATGATAAATGACAGTCAAACCTTCTCATCAGATTTGAGAAAAATGGAATACTTATGAGTTAAAGTGTGAGTGACGTGTGGCTCATAGACTCCAGTGAACATGAGCAAGCTTGTCCAGGCTGTGCTACAGGAATGATACAGAATCCCAAAAGACAGTATCTGCAACCTGGTACATCTACAGTTGTAAAATGTGCATTGTTTCCAGTGGTAATTACACACCCTACTAGCCCGTGTCTTTCACTGTAGACTCCCTGTTGATCAATCCTGTTAATGTGAAATGTTCATCAGCATGATGGGCTTACCTGTCATAACTGTTGGGTAAAAAGACACTGCACAACATTTTGTCATTTTCCTGAACAAAAACCTTTGAAAATTTGTCGCAGCTTGATTGCTAATTTTGTACTGATGGAAATTATCTTCTAAATTATAGTATATATGAATTATTTTGAAAAGACTATGTGTGTCAATTTCAATTCTTACATCCGAAGAGTTTTTATGCAATAGAAACCTGCAGAATATCCAAGTAACAGTGTTAAGTGTTGCCAGTTAGACTTTGCTTTAATGTGCCGTATTTAAAATTTATTATCAGGTAACTTAAAATGTCCCACTTATAAACCCAATACCAGATGTCTGTTGGTGGGGCAGCAAGTACCCATAGAGAGTCTATAATAAACTGTTGCTATGACAACACCACTTATATTTATACAGTACATGAGCTCTGCAAGTAACCAGGTTTGCAGGTTTCTTTGATGGGGAGGAAATCAAATACAGACAGCAGCACAACAACACTGAGAATTTCCGGCTGAAATTGTTTTCTGTTAGTTGTTTTTTTTTTCTCATTTTGTAATTAGAACAAAGACAAAACTTAACTAATTACAATCTAATCCTCCCCCACCGTGGCATCTCCCCATTCTCACCCAGCCCTTTCCACAGAGGATTGCATTGACGTAAAGTGCAATATCGAAAGAAGTAGATGGGAAACACCATTTCACAACAGCCCAGATAAAAAGGGGTATAAAAGCACAGAGTCTTCGAAAAGGATGGACAGTGTAAAAACAATAAAAGACTCTCAAAAAATAAGAATTGACAACTTGCTGTCACGGAACAGTTATTTCCGGGCCCTATGCAGATGACACAATCTGGGGTAGTGAGGAAACACTGGAGAAAAAGCATGCAGGATTCGTGAATAAAAAACAGGGGGTCGTGTCCAAGGAGTGCTGGTGGTCCGGGAAGGTGTAGCGAGGTGTAGCAAACAAATCCAGGGACGAGTCCAAAGAGATATCCAAAAACAAGCAAAAGTCCATGGCCATGCAATCCATCCTGGAGATTAAAAATGGGAACTGGGTCGGGACCGGCAGGGGGAACAGAAACAGAAAGGTAAAAACCTAACGGAGCCAGATGCATCCAGGACCCAGGCTCGCATGATGCGGAAACCAATGCAGAGCCCTGATTAGTGTCAGCATCTGGCTTTTAAAGGGGAACTGAACAGGGGCTGGAATAAGGAACAGGTGCGGGGAATGAGGCAAAACAAGGAAGGGCTGGAGTGCCCTTGAGAGGAGGGGTTGCGATCGTGACACTTGCTAACTGACTGTTAATCACAACCTTCAGTGTTGTAAGATTTCGAAGGACAGGGTATTCAACAGCATGGCTACTGCGAGAAAGATGCATTTTATTTAAAAAGGCAATTTTTGAAATATATCTTCTGGTATATAAGGTATCTGTCCATCCATGTTCAGGAACCATTTAATGCTTAGAGAATCATGGTGAGTGAGAAGCTCACCTTGGTGGGCTATACAACATACAGTATACACTGCTGTGGATGAAAAGCTCATAAAGAGTGTATAGTGACTGAAGATATATATGGTAGCCAAACATTGGCCTTTAATTTTGATTCTCTGCTTTATTGAGAAGCTTTGCATTCTTAGCAGATCTGTATCATAGAAAAGATGAAGTACAGGTGGTAACAAAAGAGAGAGGCAACACTGCATCCTGGGACAAACATTCAAAAGACCAGCTAAGAAACACAGAGCTGGAAACAGGCAGGCAGCCCCAAAGACTTCAAAACCCCTCTGTCACATCAAGCAGGAGACAGCTGTAAATGTTGCATCCAGCCTTAATAAAAAATCACAAACAGAGCAAATGAGAAACAGATCTGAGACATGTACATATATACTTCCAGATTGGAAGGTACTGAACTCTACAAGGATATTGTCAACAATTAAATCTGTCCCAGTAAGCAGTCACATCATAAGCTGATTTCATTTCTTAAACTATCTTAATATGATATTCAACACAAAGCAGTGCTTCAGTTGCTCGATTCCTGTCGATTACATTATTTAGAGCTTTAAAGAAGAAGCAATAATTGCAAAATTATATACTGATATGCCCAGATATAACTGATTTTTGAGAAATGAAATAAAAATGCTTTCACAGCATCTAAACTATCTGCAGTTTTCATTTAGAAATGGCTTGTTGTTGCACATACATCACAGTTAATGCAATAGCAAGTGTTCCTGTGTGTCAAAAGGAGAGCCAGGGTGCAAGAATGAACATGGAGTAATGTAGTCTGTCTGTTCGATTTTAGCATAGGATTGCTGAAAGACAAAAGAACAGGGAATGAGGTTCTTCAGGATAATGAGGGTCATCTGCTTTCTCATCTCCTGTCCTTCTGTTTCTGTAGAATGGTGGTTTTTCAGTCCCTTTCTGTGGCCCCTTGAAAGAGGAAGAAAGGGATCTTATACAAGAACAAAAGTTAAACTGATGTTAAGAAGCATTCAGGATAAAAAAACAGGTGAATAGTACTTTACACAGAGAGATGTGAGAGTCTGGATCAAACTATACCTGTTGTGCTTTTCCAGCTGACAGTTTGCAGCAGTTTCAAGAAATGGCTTGATAGGATTCATGGACCATTAAGCTACTAGCAAGCAAATAAGTGAGATAAGCCGAATGTCTTTCCTCTTTGTTGGTGACCTTTCCTTTGGAAACACTGTGCAACTGTGATGTGCTGTGTTTGCACCATGAATCATTAGCTGAGTTATCATTATTTTTTTTAAATCTTTTACAGTCTAAAATGGACACAATTTCTCAAAGGTGATTTAAGATTCAGTCATCAGTTTTCCAATCTAATCTTCAATTAACAGAAGGCTAACATTAAAATTGAATATCTTATTATCTGTAGTGAAAGCTAAAATAATTCATGTTATGTCAATTTTATGCGAGGCAATTAAAGCCTAGGAGAAGCAGCTGAAGCAGCATTGTGGAGCTCCAATCTAATTAAATTGAATGTGCACATAGCTCAGCACAAAGGAAGGGGGTGCACATTCCATGTTGTCATTGTAAACATTTAAATTATTTTAATATTTTCATTGCTTTCAGTCTTGAAGGACAATGTTCCTATTGGAAAGACATGTGTGAATTAAAAATTATGTCTGAAAAATTAAATGGTTACATTTTGTAGCTCAAATGTCCAAGGCCAATCAAAAATAATTCAGTTTGATTTTTAAACTTGGAGCTGCTAATATGCATTTTGTTTTTATTTTAAATTTAAATTTGTTAAGCAACACAGTGCAAAAACAAAATCACCAATGCAGTCAAGACAGCTCACGATTTTTAACAACTGCTGAGATATTGATCTCCCATTTAATTAAAGCTTTGTCATTATTATAGATACGTTTATGGGATGAACTATGCCTTATCATGTCTATTACCTTCAAAATATAGCTTAAACACAAATGTATTATAGATACCAACCTTTTGTTGTGTTTCTGGAATGTATTTTTCACAGACCATCAAATTGTGTGTACAGTATCCGTCTTCTTTTGCTTCATTAGAAAACCTGTCTCTTGTGTTTTGCTGTACATTGCCCGTGTCCATCTGGCCCGAACTTTAAATTGGCTTAGCATTACACATTTACGTTGGCAACAGCATTATACAGAGACCGCTGTAAAATGTCAACCAGTTTCTCCAGTGAAAAGTAAATGTATATATATATAAAAAAAAAAACTTACACCAGTTGTGGTAACATTGTCAAACATGGCAAAATGAAGACAAATTCCCAAATTGCACTGACTGTAGCCTTCCTGAAGAAGATAATCCTTGCCCTGTTTTAAATAACATTGAAAAGGTTTTAACAAAGAGAATGGTATCATTCTTGCATGTTATAAGGAGTGATATCTGTGAGGGGCTACACTGTAAACTGTAGATTCCATTTCACCTGTTGCTAGAAGTTTCACAGTGATTATTCTCAGATGGCTCAGTTGTGTGTGTTTTATTTTGCATTCTTATAAATGTTTTCTATGGTAAGCCATTTTAAGGTTTAGCAAAGAGCAATGAAATCATAGTAAAAACCAAGGCAGAAGGAGATGTATGGTAAATTATTATACAAACCACGCAGGACGGTGGCAAGGATAAATGCATTGTATGAGCATGCTAAAGACATCAGAACAATTAAGAACAGATGCAGATTTACCAAATAAATTTAGTGTGACACTAAGGTAGTCAACCTGTAGATTCTTAGTTAATGTGAAAGTAGACTGGGAATGTAAATAGTTTTATTTATCTTGTTAAAAATAGGAATGTCATGGTCATAATAGGGATGCTAAATATAGTAAAATCTATGAACACCGTCTGTAATTAACTTCAGTCTCACTTCCCTATAATACCACAGACAACACAGAGGCTACTTTTTTTCAGCCATCATGAAAAGCTCATTTGGAGCCAGTCCTCTTTTTTAATGAATATCTGCTTTACCTTACCGTCTGAAGATTTCTGCTTAGAAAATGCATTTGGCCCATACTATTAACTGAGCACTGGCAACTGCAACAAAATCACAAAGAAATTGTCTCAGGGAAATCTCAGGAAATTTATTTTCCCATCCAACTCACTGATTAGGTGCATCTGGAGTACATCAATATCAGTTAAGCATGATCGGATAATTGTATTAATTAATAAGATGTTAATTACTACCAAATAGCTTTAAAAATCTAATCAATATGTAAGGTGTATGCTTTATTCTCAAAACACACAAAGGTATACAGTATAGAGTAATAGGTTTCTGCACTTAGTATTCACAAAATTGCGAACAGTTTAATTTTCAGACTGTATTTAATGTCAAAGAGTGATTGTCTCATATTTTTATTGCTACCCTGTGTCTCTCATCTTCTAACTCTAATTGCCTTTATAAAGAAACAGATGTGAGAAGAGTTGGAGTTGTGAGTGTCAAATGACAACATTCCGACTACTGGCTCAGGACCCTGGCCTTTTGTGTATTATGAAATGTAATTTATTCTGACAGGGTCACAGATCTTATGCTGGAGAGACTACCGTTTATCTTCAATAGTTTTGTGCCGTTGCATTACTGAATACAGATTGCTGTCTTTTATGTACTGGGTTCCATTTGACTGTATATCAAAAGGATTAATAATGTCAGTTTTTGCCTGTGGTTACCTCTCAGGCCTTTGAATGAATCAGTCTCGGTCTTGACACTTTAAGTAAGACTGACTTTTTAATTACTGTTGTTAACAAACTCGGGGACAAAAGACAAATTAAGAAAAATTTAAGAAAAATCTGCATATTAATAAGGAAATTGAGCTACATTTTAAGAGATTTAATTGTGTCAACATCCTTCAGCTCCCAGGCAGCCTGTAGTACTATGTACTATCGTTTTTACATCCAAGCACATTGTAGAAAATGAAGACACCGATAAACAATGAAACAATTCAACAAGCTTATTAATTCTCTACCCTCACAAAATGCTTGTATCATTTTACATTCATAACTATGAAAGTCAAGCATGTTTGTTGGGTTCTATTGTGAAGGCCCCTGGAATCATTATAATAAAAACTCCCTTACCGCATCCTGACTGTTCAGTAGCATGTTTTGATCATAATTAGGCTAGATTCATCAAAGGGTAGAGGAAAAGGCTAGCTCCACAGTGAGCTATGTAGATTCTTCACACTCACTGCCGTGGTGCAAGCCTATGAAGATGGAACATTGTTCGTTTTTCTTGAAAATAAAAGTCACCACCTGTAAAGAAGCCAGGATATTCAACATTGTGTTACAATCTCAGCGTACTTTAACAGCAGGCGAAATGAAATGCAGCACATTCTTCTCCGTTCAGCTCTTTGGTAGAGATATAAATAGGGATTCAACTGCAGAGACGTTCAGTGACTTTGGGCCTCATTCACTAACCAGCAGTACTGCGTTTTGAGAATGTCAGGCACCTTTACTGTATGTCAAGTGCAGCTGCAGCAGTCCCAAGCAGCATCACCGCTAGCCTGACATCACCAGACACCTCCGATGTTATGTACAGTATAACATGCAAACAGAGTTCACGAAAGTGGAGCTCATATCATCGCCTGTCCCAGTGCATGGAAAACTAAATGCACTGGTGTTTCAGAATGTCATTGTCTCTTCTGGGTACTGAAGGCCACCACATAAAGCAAAATGCACTAGCTGTCTTTCTGTGTTGGGATTTAATTTCCTTCAGTTTGCCTGTTTGTGTGAAGTGCTTTATGGTATATTTGTATCTGTGCCAGATCAATAAAGAGCAGCAGATAGCAAGGAATGATGTTAAGGAGAAGCATTAATGCATTAATACACTATGATGGATTCATATATAAAATTCTATAACATATAGCCTTTATACAGGACAAATGCAATATACTGTATATTGGTACATCATTCAAGAGAATGTAAGATATATTCAGTTAATTTACCCAAATTATATCTTAAAAATTAGTATGTATTCCGTTTATAAAATGTAACCAAATATATTTTTGAAATTTTTAGACGATATTATATATATTACTTTTAAAATTAAGTTGAAATGACCTGCCAGGGTGGCAAACTCAGCTATTCATGGGAAAAACAAAGAGGTTTATTAGCAGTTGAAAAAAAGAGCTTTTCTTTTTTGGGACACCACTGGATCTTGAGTTGTCCCTTACCAGTGTTGGGATGCATCCTGCCACATGAAAGATACTCCTTGTTCTAGACCCCAAGGTGGTCTTCATGGGTTTGGTTCCAATAAAGGATTACAAAAATCAAGGAGAAATGTGTAAAAACTGAAATAGTATCTCTGCATCTGTCCTGTTCAGGCAGGATTTGACATTAGCAGTGTTTCTCAAATGGTTAAAAGCAATCCTGTGCACCAACTGACTTAAATGCACTTACAGTAGATGAAACTTCAAATAAAATTTAATCCGTGAGTAAATTTTAGATGCTCTGTGAGGATGGACACTGTCATGACAGTTTGAGCTGGTAATGACCCATAGAAATGTTCATCCACAGAGTTGAAAGCCAGGTTTGTTCTTTTTGGTGATATCTCTAAGTGATAGCATGTACACACAGAGAGTCTAATCCACTTTGGCCCTGTCAGTGTCAGTTACTGTAAGTAGGGCTGGCGCTATGTGATTTCTTCGGGTCGAAGCTAACGCTGTGAAGACTGATGACTCTTCTGCCTTCAACCAGTGTTTATTGCTTGCTACAGTGAATTGAGCTCTTGTATTTTTGAAGGGCACTAGCTAACACTTCTTTATTTTGAGGGACACTAACATAAAATTGTGTACTGGAGAGAAAGTCAACAGTATATCCTTCCCTATAAAAATATTATATTTAACTGCTAACTATGAATAGTAAAAGAGTATGAAAGGACCTCCAAGTCATGGAGAATGTTTGCCTACAATAATGGCGAAGAGGCTCAACAGCCAAAATGTTCTGTTTTTTCTTTCTACTTCTCAGCATAGGATCTACAGTATGTCTCCTTTACAGTCTGCACACTCAAATAGTTAACTGAACCTTCTTTTAAATAATGTTTTTAGTGGGTTTTTTTGAAAATAGTCAATATTCATATGTGTTCACAGTGATTTATTTCATGTCTTCAAATCACTGTCTTTCCTTCATTTTAATATTCTGTAGCAAGATTGTCATTTTCTGCACCTAACTTTATGACCATAACCTGTGTAATACCTGAATCTTTTTAATTGTTAAAGTTTCATTTTTAGTTTAACATTTCTTTTCATTATAAAATAATATGGAAACAAGCATTAATAAACAAGCGTTAAGAAAGTTGAATAATAACACTAGAGAAATATTTCTAGTATCCATCATAAAGAGTGCTTTCATTTTGTTAAATTTTTAAGATAAAAAAATAGAAGCACTGGGTGTCCTGTTCCTTCTCTGGTGTTTTTACTGGGAATTTAGTAAATGTGAGTGTTGATCCACCAGGGAGCCATCCTGGTAAGTGCACTCAGCATTCAGTGCTGCTCCTGATACCTCATATGGACATCATCTGCCAGTATCCTTGTGTATTTATTTTACCCATAACGCCTGTGTTGCTTCTCAAGTGCTATATACTGTACAAAGTGCATTTCATGGGCTTAGTGTAGGAAAATCTATTTAAATTACTAATACAGTGTACAGTCTTTTAATAAATGGCAACCTTTTTGGGTAGCTGATGTGTTATTATCAGTTCTTTACATCAGTTTGCGCACACGTTATGTGGAGTTATGCACAAGCAGTAATGCTGCTGTCTCCAGTGTAATTTCAAATAGTGTTACCAGGTCCTTATATCTCTGTTGGGCTCTCCATGTTTTCTCATGTTTATCCATCCATTTTCTAACTGCTTCATCCAATTCAGGGTGGCGAGGGAGCTGGAGCCTATCCCAGTAAGCAATGGGCACAAGCCAGAATACACCCTGCATTGAATGCCCGTCCATTACAGGGCACGGCACACATTCACACCTCCATTGGTGTACGTTTTCCCAGACACCAATTAACCTACTGTACCTGTATGTCTTTGGCCTGTGGAAGAAAACTGGACCATCCGGAGGAAACCCACACAAACACAGGGGGAACATGCAAACTCCACCCCAGGTCTGGTATTAACTCAGGGTTCCAGTGCTGTGAACATCAATGTTAATTAATGTGCCACCTGTCATATGTTTGCATACAGGACATTATCGCATGAAGTTTACCTTTTATTACCATGGTACTGTATGACTGCGCTCTTTTTTGTTTTGTTTTTATGGTGTAAACATGTCTCCACTGTGCATTTCTCCACAGGATCCTATGGTGTATTATAGTAAAATTAATTCAAA